TCGTCGAGCCTAGACCAGTGGGGCAAAGCGGGCAAAGGGCAGGGCGGAGGCTGGGATGGCAATTCACACTGGAGTCGAAGGCGCTGGCGCTGCGGGCAATGCAACTGCAAGAAGAACATCCACTCGTGGCTCTTCTGTAAGCACTGTGGTGCAAGCAGGTTTGCCCAAAGCGGGAGCGAATCGTGGCCTGAACTCCCGCGTCGGGGTGGGCCTCCTCCTGGTGGTGGCGGCAGCGGCGGCGGCAGTGGCTTCAGGCTTCAGTGGCTCCGACGGGGGCGGGCGACCCCCTCACGGCCGACGAGCTGCGCACCCTCACCACCCTGTGCGAGAAGGGTGGTGACTCAGCCGCTGCTGCAAAACATAAGCAAGCGCTGGACCGACTCACGAAGTCAACCCAGCCAGTACCAGGGCAGCAGCGGGCGGCAAAGGCTCACAGCAATGTGCAATACTGGGAACGGAAGCTCAACGTGGAGTTGGATCGGCTGGCAAAGCTCGAGGACCAACTTACTGCGCAGAGGGGGGCAGCTGCGACAGCACGTGAAGGGCTCCGTGATGCAGATGAAACCCACATGGCTCTCGTCAAGGAGTTGGCGGGTGGCATGGTGGGTGCCGAACCACGCGCTCAAAGCGCCATCGGGAAGATCGACGTTTCCGAGCTCATGGAGGGCACCAGCACGGTCTTCGATTTGGTCAGTCTCGACTCCATTTTCAATTTCGACGAGAGCCAGTACACGATCGCCAAGGAAGATCAGGGAGAGATGGGCAATCGCCGTCAGACACTCAACGATCAGTTCCGCGAGGCTTGCACCGAGATGTTCTCGGAGGCTTTGGAGAAAGCCCAGGAGATTCGCGAGGGGCAGGCGAAGCACATCGAGCGCATCGGCAAGAAGAGGGAAGGTGATTAACGTGGACAGAGTTTCTCACCCAGGAGGCGTGGCTCAAGCAGCGGCTGGCGCGAGTTCTGCCTGTCCTGGCCCAGGGCCTGGGACCCCACCCGCTGCCGAGCCAAAGGCGGAGCCTGCGGCTGGGAAAGGTTGCAGCAGCGATTCAGCGGCAGTCTCTTCCGTGCGCGAGCGTGCAGCGGCGGCCCTCGGCAAGCCGCTGCAGTCACCCCCCCTGCCGCGCCTGCGCTCTCAGTGCGGCGGGGGGGCACTCCAGCCAGTAATAACTTTTTGCAAGGGCGAGTTTGCCGCTAGGCTCGCTCGCCCAACTCCACATCTCGGCAAATATCTCAGGTCGCTGTGGCAGTGGCCCAGCGGCCGCGGGCAGTCTCGGGAAAGGTTCGAGTTTGCATGATGGGTTATTTGTGCACTCTCTCGCTTATCCCAAAGCGGGCTTGTCGGCGTCGCAACCCGCCCCCCATGCCAGTTCTGGCGCCCGTGGCGATGGGGGTGGGTTCTCACAGCCCCTGCGTGGGAAGGCTGA